CTGCCTCAGCACATCCTGTTAACCCAGATGAGGTCTTTGTGTTTCAGATCCTGGAGTGAGTTGAAAGTCAAAAAAAGAAAAAAAAAATTTTGAAAATGTTATGTATCTCCAGAAAATTTATTTCCATTAATTTATCATCACATTTATATAATGAAAAAAAAAAAAAAAAAAATGTTAACAACTATGACAACAATACTTAGGGTAGGCAGTATCTTGGATGCTTTAACACTTAGCCAGAAATCATGCTAAAATGTACAATACTCGTTTTAAAAGCACAAAAACAAGGTCATAAAAGTAAGAACTCAAAGGGAGATTTAGTTCAATCTTTTCATTCTAAAACCAAGGAAGTTGAAAAGTTAGGTGTTAAGTAAAGTCGGGAAGCCATGGTCATCAAGAGAGGACAAAAGCAGGTCCTTAGTTTGATGTTAAACTATACCACCTCCCTACAACAAGCAAAAAAGGTAACATAATAATGGCTAACGCCTAAGGCAAAAACTGAGGGTGAGTGAAAATTGGGGGAAAAAAAAAAAGTACTTCTGCTACCTACAGAGTAGACCAAAGACAATTATAATTTTAGAAGCATTTATTTAGAAGTACATTCCCAAAAGGAAAGACAACAAATAATCTCCGATCACTGCTTTCAAGAATGTAGGCTTTGGGCAACTTTAGGCAAATTAAACCAATTTCTTTATTTGCAAAGTGGGAATTAAGGAATAATCTCATGGAGATGTGGAGAATTAAGTGAGAGAAAGCATGTAAGGCAATTAAGACAGTACCTGAGAAGTTTTATGTAATCAACAGACAATATTATAATCAGTCAATATCATTGGTGTTATTTTAGATTCAAATTTTTTGAGTCAGCCGGTAAAACTTTTTAAAACCACCAAAAGTGAAAAACTATTTAATAAACACATACCTTTAAAACTTTGTACAGCCGAAGAAGTTTTTTCTCAATTTCAATAATTACTTCTTTTCCTTCTTCGCCAGTCATACGACTTAAAAAGCAGAAAGAACACAAGTTTATGCAAGTGGCAGAAACAAAAAAATACTGTACTCACTCCTTAAAATACCTGCACTATCTTTTCAAAGATTACTGTCGAACTCTTCTAAATGAACTGACCCAGTCTGTGAGGTATGTAAGAATATATAGAACACATAATGCAATACGTGTTCAAATATAAGTACCAAAAAACCCTCAGAATACCTTTTTGCATCCTGCAAGTTTTGACAGTTTGACTACGTAAAGACGGAACAGGGATCTCTATTCATAGCTACAAATTTACTAACGATTTACAAAAAACTTTACAAAAGACTGCATAAAGTAGTAAATTTCTACAGAAAATATTTTGAAGCATTTTGCAACTAAAATAAAAATCATGTTACTGCTATACTAAAAAACCAATTCTGGGTGGCCACATTTTCCCAACACATCAGGGGTTTACACTGAAAACCATTCCTACAACCACTTCCAACCAGCACTTTTTAAAATCCCTCGTTTGCAAGACACACGTGCAGGCTCCCTCCTTGCAAACAAACACCGTGAGCGCCCAGCAGCACCCGGGAACGTCACTCAGCATGCGTCTCCCCAGCCCCCCAACTGGTCCAGGACGCTGGCGTCCTTACATTTGCGCCAGACTTCTAGAATTCACTTATTCAGCACGCCCCATTAAACCTATCGTCTTTCTCCCCAGACCCAACCGGGCCCCCCCTCCGCGGGCCTCACCTGGTCAGAGTCAGGTAAGCGTCAGTCTGCTCTCCATGTGAGGCGGAAGGGTCTTCCAAAGTCTCCAACAGCGGCGCGAGGGGGCCCTGACCCCTGGCCGTCATGTCGGCCACCTAAGGCCCGAACCGGAAGAGAAGAAAACCCGGTGACTGACGGAAAACAGCCCCGCGGCGGCCCAGCTTGAGTCCGGCCCCTGTACCCGCACGCCCGCCCGCGGCGTCTCAGCCACGCCGCATTTACACACCAGGCATCTGGCGCACAAACTCAAGCCCTAACCTTCTCCTGGGCCGGGCAACACACACCTGGGCCCACGCTGCGCTCGAGCCTGGGCCCGCTCCCGCCACCACTTTCCCGGGCAGCTTTCAACAGAGGGAGGAGACCGGCTGGGGGCGGGAGAAGCCCGGGGAGCGAGGCGTCTCGTCGCGAGGGGGCGGAGGTTGCGCCAGACTAAGGGGTCCCTGCAGCCTACCAGTGTGTCCCGGATACTTATCCCCACGTACAAAGATCAGATCAGGGTCCTCTCTACCGCTGCCCCTCCGCACCCAGACGCCGCCGGAGCTCCACTTTCCCGGCTCGGGCTGTTTACTCACGCGTGCAGCCCGCTCCCTCCTCAACCAAGATGGCGGCGGGGGCGGGCCCAGGAGCGCGCGGGCGTGGGGCAGGCCTGGCGGGAGAGGCTCGAGCCAATCCAACAGGCAGCGGCGTGCAGGAGTTATCGATGGCCTCCCTTCCTTGCCCAGCTATTCCGCCCCGCCCCTTGGGTCACCTTCAGGTTGTGGTGCTTTGCTTAAGGTGTGGGACTTGAAATTCACAATGTGAGTTAATCGCTCAGATTCACCAGATTTAATTTAGTGGGCCTTCAGACTAAGTTTTCAAACTCCAAGCCCAGTGCTTGTTGAAATACAGCAACAAATCATCTAGCAAAAGGACAAAATGTACTCTTAGGTTAAAGACTAAGAGCTGTATCCCAAGCGGGTCTAGATTCCAACTCTGGTTCTGTGTGACCTCAGCAAGTTAACATTCAACGCCTCAATTTCCTCCTCTGGGAGGGCTAATAGAACCTACGTCAAGTGTAGGTGAAGTGAGAAAAGATAAGAGTCCAATGTTTCTCAAGTTTTAAGCACGCATAACAATGGCCTAGAAAGTTTCGTTATTAAGCTGCAGATTTCAGGGTCCCGCCCTTAAACACTGTGATTAAGTAGATTTAGGAAGCTCCAAAGGATCTGCATTCTTCTATTAGGCCCCCGGATGTTGAAGGTTGGGGTTTGGCGGCTTAGGTGTAAAAATGACCCATGTCCACGCAAACCCCCAAGACAGTCATTTCTCTTAATATGGTGCTCCCCTTTTCATATGCATACGAGCGCTCTCAAGCAGCAGACAGGGTTGTGTCAACTTCAAACCAGGCATTTAAGGCCCAGGAGTGTTGGAACTTTCCAGGCTGGCCTCATGGGTTCCTGGCTCCAGTTTTGATCTCCCACCCTCATACAGTACAACTATCGGCTCTAGAAGCTGAGGCTGCTTTTTGCTCTTGTCTGTGTCATCTGCACTTAGCCAAAAGTCTGTCAAGCCAAGCACTAAATATATAGCGTGTTTCTTGAACAAAAACATGAAGGGAGAAAGAGAGAGGGATACATACAAGGTCTTGCGAGCCAAAGTATGGAAATTAAAAGCTTAAAAATGGTAAAGAGTTGTGTCTGGGTGAAATATGAATAGCCTACGAAAGTAACCACTGAGAAGGGTTTTCAGTGCAGCCTGTTCAAATGTTCTTTAACCTTCAGAGGGAAATTTGCTCCTCTTTTTCTGGGCTTTGGGAAGTCAACACAAATATTGAAGAAGGACAAGTTATTAGACAACGAATGAAATAAATGAACACATTTGCAACATTTAGATTTCAGTATAATGGCACTATTGTGTTGGAAATTGAGAGGATCTTGAAACTCAATTACATTGTATGATGAGATTAGTAGAAAGAACAGTGAGCTTGTCTCCACCCAATCATTATGTTCCCTACCCTGCTTTAAAACTGTTCTTTCTGGCACTTATCACTACCTGATCTTATATATTGGTTTTTTATTGTTTGCCTCTCCCCACTAGGATATAAATTCTGTAACGGTAGGGATTTTGCCTTACACATTTTTTTTCCCATTAATTTCTCATTTACAGAGAAAGAGCTGGGGTGGTCATGTTACTTCTTTCGCAGGTATGGTTCTTTGATCTTACCAAAATGTTATATAATATCTTATTATTCTCCCTTCTGTGCCTAAAATCCTCCAGCAATTCCTATCAATCATAGGATCAATTTCAAAACTGTTAGCATAACATGCAAGCCTATTATATCCCCATCATTTCCAGCCTTAACCCCACTTCCTCATGTTCTGAACAGTTTGCCAGAATCTCTTAATTTCTATGTCTTTGAAGATTCCTTGTATTTAGAACATTTTCCAAGAGTGATAAATAATAGTCAACTAAAATCACACCTTTTTATGAAATCCTTCCCTCATCTACTCTTCCACTACATACATTCCCCCCAAAGAGAATTAAATGCTTCTGTCTTCATGCTATAGATCTGTTAAAGTGAGTATCTCATTAATTTATTATTGTTTGGTTATAGAAATCTGCAATGGCAGAGTTGAAGGTTAGCCTGAGGGGAATTAATTTCATCCATAATCTCAGTCAGTGCCCCTCCCTGCTCTTTGATATTTTCTCAATCGGATCTAAAATACTAAGATATTACAGTGTCAAAAAAATCCCCTTCCTCACCCAGATCCCTCTCCACACACTGTTCCAACTTGATTGCTCCCTAAAACTTCTCTTGTATAGAAACTTTGAAGCTACCACGATGGATCTGCTCCCACTGGGCAATAAATTCATGGTACCTGGCACTCAATAAATAGAATTTGAATTAATTTGTTCTCTATCCTGAAATCAGTATGTCAAAGATTTGTCTGCACTTTCATGTGCATTGCAGCACGATTCAAAATAGTCAAGTTATAGAATCAACCTAAGTATCTGTGAACAGAGAAAGGGATAAAGAAAATTTGGTATATATACAGAATGGAATATTACTCAACCTTAAAAAAGAAGAAAACTCTTGTCATTATGCTAAGTGAAATAAGCCAGGCCTAGAAAGACAAATACCATATTTTCTCACTTATATGTGGAATCTAAAACTATCAAACTCATAAAAGCAGACAGTAGAATGGTGAATACCAGAGACAGGGGTGGGGAGAATGGGGAGATGATGGTCAAAGGGTACAAAGCCTCAGATGGGAGGATTAAGTGTGCTTTTGAGCTCTATTGCACAGCATGATGAATACAGTTAATAACAATGTATTGTACCTTTCAAAATTGCTAAGAGAGTAAATTTCAAATATTCTTACCACAAAAAATGATAAGTATTTGAGATGATGGATATGTTAATTAGCTTGATTCAATTATTCCATATTGTATTTACAAATTATAATATCACTTTGTACCTTGTAAATATATAGAATTATAATTTGTCAGGACAAGTGCAGTGGCTCACGCCTGTAATCCCAGCATTTTGGAAGGCCAGTGCAGGAGGATCACTTGAGGTCAGGAGTTCGAAACCAGCATGGGCAACATAGCCAGACCCTGTCTCTACAAAAAATAAAAATTAGCCAGGTATGGTGGTGTGCACCTATAGTCCTAGCTGCTTGGAGGCTGAAGCAGAAGGATCACTTGAGCCCAGGACTTGGAGATTACAGTGAGCTCTGATCATGACACTGCACTCCAGACTGGGTGACAGAGAGAGATCTGTCTCTAAATAAATAAATAAGTAAATAAATACATAAAATTTGTCAATTTACAGTAAAATTTTTTACACAATCACACACTCACACATGCACACACCAATAGCACACTACTGACAAATACTGCACAGTAGCAGTTTGAGAGAACTATTTTGTAAGCTATGATTTATGTGTAATGGGAAAAATACCTTTTGAGTCCCATGGCATGATGTAAATTTGTATTCTGTTCATTTTTTTCCTTTTCTACTTGATAATCCATCAACAATATTTATGTATTGCTCACAGTAGGTGAAGTGAATGTTTTATGAGAAATTTTGAGCCATAAATAATTTCTTATGTACTCTAGTACTCATGGATGCAATATTGTCCAAGAATGATTGTTTACTTCAATAAAATAATATAGTAAATACAAAAAAATTATGAGTTATAAGGATTCTGAGAGATATATGAAACATTACCCAACATGATAACTATTTCACTGTCTTTAAAGAAAGTCACATTTTGAGGTCTTATTTAGCTTTTTAATTTTAACTCTGAGTTGCTGAAAGATCCACTGATGGACCTTTCAACAGGTAATAAATAAAAAAAAAGATCTTTAAGATTATTTCATTCCATCACTAGTTCATATACTATAAATATACACAGCTAATAATGTGTCTCATGACTAGCATAAAATTTGTTATGCTTACATTCAGACTTATTTTACAATATTATCAAATTATATTAACCAAGAGGAGCTACTGTGGTCTCCAACACTGCAGTACTAGTCCCGTCCATGGCCTGTTAGGAACCAGACAGCAGAGCAGGAGGTGAGCAGCGGAGAGGGAGCAGAAGCTTCATCTTGTATTTACAGCCATTGCTCGCATCACCACCTAAGCTCTGCCTCCTGTCAGATCAGCAGCAGCAATAGATTCTCATAGGAGCGTGAACCCTACTGTAAACTGTGCACATGAGGGGTCTAGGTTGCACGCTCCTTATGAGCATCTAATGCCTGATGATCTCAGGTGGAGCTGAGGCGGTGATGCTTGCGCTGGGGAGTGGCCACAAATACAAATTATCATTAGCAGAGAAGTTTGCCTGCACAATAAATGCAGTGCTTGAATCATCCTGAAACTGGTCCCTAGTGTCAAAAAGGTTGGGGACTACTGTTTTAACAGACTGAAGGCCTTATCTGGACAAATAGTTTCACTCTTTCCAATGAGCTGAGTAGAGTTCCTACCATTTACAACCAAACTACTCCTTTTTAGATGAGAAAATAGAGCCTCTTTGGGCTCAAATGAAAAAAGAGAGGCAACATAGTGTAACGACTAAACCTGGAGCTTGATTGGTATGGTTTAAATCCTGCTCTACCACTTATTATCTATGTAACTAATTAAAGTGTGACTCTGGCAAGCTACTCAACCTTTTGTGCCTCAGTTTCCTTAAAATGGGGGTAATCGCACCAAGCTCATAGGCTTGTGAGGAGTCTGTAAGTTAATACATACATGAAATTCGCTTAGAACAATGCATGGGCATGTGCTGTAAGTATTCAGAAAACGTTATCCGTAGAAACTTTGGTTTCTTGGGTTCAAATAAAACAACACGTTCCAAAATCATGAATGTTTCCTAAAAAAGAAACACTTTTTTCATTGAAATGGGTTTCCTAGCCCACATTAAAAATATGG